GGCAAGCAGAGAAAACTTTGAGCGGTGCTATAGTCGTTGCTATTTGGGTTGCATTTGCAAGCGCTTTCTTCGAACAATAGTATACAGAAAAGCAGCCACATTAAACGGGTTGATAAATGCACGTTCTTCATTGTATATCAACCGCCGTGGCGTTTCCCATCAAGTGGTGGGTGAGGAGGGACAAAAACTGTCCTTGTTCACGAACTTCGGCATGCAGGGGTGCTAGCCATGGATGAACCTTTTGAGCTGAATTTGCGTTCACTTAGTCTTGAGCAGCTCTTGAGGATCATCATTTTGGTCATTTTCGAACTTGCCGATCGCTTCGATATTCGTGACCGTGCTCCTCTCGTTGACTTAGAAGCTGGAGTTCCCCCTTGCGCAACATTTTTTCCTAGGCCTCAGAGTTCCGCAGGTGAGCCCCCTTTCGCTAGGCAGCGTGGTCCCATTCCAGCCTGGTCTTGTGAATATTCTTGCGCCGTCAGGGATTGCGAGGCAAATTGCACCAGGCCATCACCGATGTCGGGCTCACCGAAGGGTATGAGGCAGAGGTGGAGCGCCAGAGGGTTGCTAAGGGACAGTGTTGCAGATGACTTGAAAACTGAGGTCGTCTCTGATAGTTCTGCCGAAAATGCTGCAGAACTCCTTGACTCACGGGGTGATCCACCCCCGGTTTTGCAAGCCAGTACCGTTCCGGCAGCTGCATCGGGCATTGATGGTCTAGATGACTTCGTAACTCAGGCAGCCTTGCAAAGGTCAAAAAGGACCATTTCGGACTTGAAGCAGCCTTGGGAACAGGGACCTCTTAAAAAGCTCTTTTCTGCGCAAACGCCTGCCTTCCTTAGACGAAACACAAACGTCACTGCCGTTGGATTGTTTGAGACTTTGACTGCAAGTGCAAGCTCGGAACCCAAGTCAAGTCCGATGACAACCTCGTCACACGTCAGGCACAGGCGTCGGTTCTCAAGGTTGGTGCAGTCGGAGGATGCTTTAAGAAGGGTTGCTTTGTCCCGAATAAGTACCATGGTCTTGATGAACCCGAGTGGGACATCCTTGGGTAGATCTTTAATGTCCTTTGCAGGAACGTTGACAACAGACGCTGAGCTTTCTCAGGTTTTCATGGATGTGTTTGCGCCTAAATCGACAGGCACACTTGTGAAGAGATCAAATGCAGTTTGGAGATTCTCTCACTGGCTCCACGAGCACAACTTAGGTTCGCCCTTTTGCCAATCTGAGCAGGTGCTGTATCGCTACCTGAATTATTTAAGGGACACAGGTGCTGGAGCTACGGCAGCTTCCTCCTTTGTCGAAGCCCTCAGATTCTTTGACTCGTTGTTGGGGTTCACGGCTTTGGCACTGAAAGACATGCTCACGCCCAGAGTTGTAGGCTGTGCACATTCCCAGTTTGTAACTAAGAGAAAGCGTAAGCCTGCGGAATTGTCGACAGTCGACGAAATCACGCACCTCGAAAACACGTGCCTTGATCAGGAAGAGCGCCCGATCGTCAGGCTTTTGGCCGGGCACTTTTTGTTTTGCTTCGCATCGACTGCAAGGTGGCATGACTCTATGTACATTGACTCTTTAGAACTCAGCACGCATAAAGACGTGGTTTTGTTGGAGGCCAGTACGACCAGAGACAAAACCTCAGTCACAAAGGAGCTGAAAACGCAGTTGTTGCCATTCACAGCCTTGGGACGCCTGATGAGCCGAAAGGCTTGGGGTGAGAGCTTTGTAGGGATGAGAGATCATTTTGGTTTCGACCACTCCACCCTCTTTTTGCCCTCGTGGTCGGACGAGCTAGGCCGATGGGCAGACTCACGCATGTCCACCTCTGAGGCGACTGAGTGGTTACGGGAGATTCTCACGCCCGCAGTAGGGACAAAGCGGGCATCGACCTTGACAGTTCACGGTCTCAAGGCAACCATGTGCAGCTGGGCAGCAAAGAGCATGCTCTTCACCCCCGAAGAGCAAATCGCATTAGGACACCATGTGAGCACCTTGAACAAGTCTGCACTAATCTACAGCCGCGACAATCAAATTGCTTTGTGTGTCAAAATCTATAAGCTGTTAGCCAAAATTGAATCGGGCAGCTTTCACCCGGACAGATCTCGAGCTGAACGCCTCTTCGAGCTTGCGTCGCAAGTAGAGCGAGAGCTGGAAACGACCGAAGTTTCGGGAGACTCAGACTCGGATTCGATGGCAGAGTCGGATGGAGGACACGAGAAGTTTGGTCCGGCGGAGGAACCCGTGAGGCTCCCCATCGAAGAGGCCACTGCTCGCCGCTGTGTAGTCCACAATTTTTCAAGAGTCATACATCTTCGGCGGGAAGCTGAGGACGATCGTTTGGGTTGTGGGCGACTGGTGACAGCAAATTACCATGAAGCAACTGATGCAGATTTCAAGTGCGCAGCAAGTGTGGTTTGCGCAGGGTGCTCATCGCGTGAGGCCGCGCAGGAGGATTGATCTGACCATATGAGCCGGAGGGGAAAAACAGAGAAACTCGTGAGAAACTTCTTTGTTTTTGCATCTCTCAGTGAACTCAAACGTGTGCCTTTTAGAACAAACATGACCTTTGAGTTGCGGGGCTGGACAACTTGGACATTAAATTGCCTTCACTTCACCGTTTGTGAATCTTGGGTGTGGACATATCCTCTCTTTGGAGGTGGATCTGCCGCACTTGAGTTTTTGGTGAGGTTACGGGTTACGCAATCAAGTTTGAAAGTCTTTGTAGTCCTGGGTCCGCGCGCGCGCGCGCCCTTCGTGAGGGTTTTTGGTGCCCCAAAAGGCGCGCGCGCGCGCGCGCGGACCCAGGCCCCCAGACGAGGTGTCTTTGGTGGATCTTGGTGCCCTCACGGACTCCTTTTGCTTGGGTATCCTTTGACGCGTGTGTCCATTGACCTTCGTGAATTGCGTGTGACATCAATCTCACCGCTTTCAATGGCCCAATAGCGACGCGCTAGAGGCTCATGTCCATGACACAAGGCTATAATGGGTTGTTCCCATTAGCCCAAAGGACATCCCTTGATCGTTGAAGGCTATGCAACATGTGATGTAACATCGCATTGCAGCTTCTTGTCGCGCCACCTGTGGGTGCCATGGCGTTGGATTCTCGAGTGGCCTTCAGTGAAAGGGCCAAAGAGGTCGGGTTGAGTCAAGGGCAGGTAGATGCATTAGCCGCAAAAGGGGTCCGAACTTTTGCACAATATGCGTATTGCACAACGTACCAACCAGGACACTCAGATGACAAAGCGTTGTTAGATTTCTTGGCGGACGCATTCGGAGCACCTTTGGAGGCAGGTGAGGCAGCGTCGTGCCGACGACTCTTTTTCGAGTCGCATGCCTTGTCATTAGAGGACCTTAAATCTCGAGTAGAAAGGTCGGAATCTAGTGAAGCTCGTACTTTGCCTTTGGCCGAAAAGATGGAGCGCTTGAAACAAGTTAAAAAGAAGCTAGCTGGCATTTCGTTCACGCCACAGACAGAGCCTAGCCATTCTTTGATAGACAAGGTTTGCCAACAAGCCGAAGATAATGTAGTATCATATATTGATCTCACCAAGTGCACCTCCAGGCATGACGAGTCCCTGCAAAACAGAACTGACACTTCGTTGGCCCTCGACTCTTCAGGCGGCCTGCGAGTCGCCAAGAAGCTCAAAACTGAGGACATCCCCATCAACGGAGAGCATCGCCTCAGGCTGGCGTTCCAACGTAGAGCAGTAGCGTATGAAATCGCAAACATTGCATCTTTTTCCGTGTTGGATCACTGGACTCAGAGATTGTTGGAGAAGATGAACGAGCCGCCAGTGGCCGGCTATCGTCCAGTCACCATGGAACAGGCATTGAATACGGACAAGGCCGTGTGGTCACGTGTCTCAAACGAGACCCGAAACAATTTGGCATCAACGCCGCCAAATCCGAAGCCTTTCGACATTGCTTTCGAGAAGTTTTCCAACCACCCAGAAGTGCTTTTCCATTTGCATCCCCTGCCTCTCACGAGAGCTGATTTAGGTACCCATCACCCAGATCCCAAGGGCAAGAACAAGGATTGGAAGGGGGATGGGAAAGGTGACACGAAAGGCAAAGGTAAAGGGAAGAAGGGCATTGCCATTCCGGATAATTGTAGCCTGTATACCCAGGACAACAAGCAAGTCTGCAAGCGATTCCAGCTGGGATTGTGTAAGGCTAAGATCAAACCAGGCAAGCGTTGCATGTTGGGCTACCACCTGTGCTGGAAGACGGGCTGCAACAAACCACACCCGGGGAACGAATGTCCCCTTTGACAAATGGGCCATGGCACGCACCAAATCGTTTCACCAAATTTTGCAGATGATTCAGCCCCAGTCACCGCTGTGGAAGTTTGTTGTGGATCGGCAGGCTTGTCAGCAGCAATTCGCAGGTTGGGCATCGATGTTTTTGCCATAGATCATCAAGCAAATCGACATCGCACGAAGGTGCGACCAATTCTCCTAGACCTCACACTCCTTTCAGACGTGCAAGTTTTTTGGGCAATTTTGCATCAATCGCAACCTAGGTACATCCACATGGGTCTCCCCTGTGGGACCTGCAGCAGAGCCCGCGAAAAGGCTCTACCGTCTTCGTTCGGCCCGACGCGAGGACCCGTCCCGCTCAGAGATGCAGATCACTTGTTCGGCAAGCCACACTTGACTCAGGCAGACCAAACCAAAGTCATTCAGGCCAACCGCTTGTACTCCTTGGCTGTCGAAATCTTGGAATTTTGCATGACTCATGCTGTTTTGGTTTCGATTGAGAACCCCCTCCGAAGCTGGCTTTGGCAGTTGCTAGCGCAGATAGTCCAAGCGTCGAAGAACCCCCAGTTGATCCAGTACTACGCCAGTCTTGAACATGTCGTTTTTGCAGCTTGTGCCCATGGATCATCAAGAGAGAAATACACTAAGCTCCTCGCCACACCTGGCCTGTTCGACACGCTGGCCGCTGCATGTCCGGGTGATCATGTGCACAGCAGTTGGGCTCCCTTCAAAGTCGGCTCGCAGATCATTTACCCCACGGCCGCGGAAGCTGAGTATCACCCCGTGTTGTGCAAACGTATGGCCCAATGCGTGCATGATGCCCTGACCGCCCAGGGTTACATAATCCGCCTAGCTAAACCCCTCAAAGAGCTCCTCAGGCTGAGTGTTGGTTTGCAGAGTTTTCGACAGAAACCCCTGGTTCCTGAATTCAAGGCTTTTGTCCATCTGCCGGAGCCTTACCAGGCTTCCACCCACAAACTCTTGGCTGCTCCTCCAACAGGGGGATCATCAGCCGAGCTGCGCGCAGAGACCAGAAGAGCTGAGGATCGAAACGAAGACGATTGGGTGCAAGATGAAGGGGCGCACGACCTCCTCGACGCAAATGATGACACCCTTCGTAATAGTAAAAGGCAAAGACTCTCATACAAATATGGAGTGTGGCACACGCCGGAGGAGTTCATGGAGCAAGCCAAGGCAAGTAAACACCCAGTAGATAGTGAGTCCTACTTGCACCCCATAACCAAGTCTGCAATTGAGCATGTTCTTTCCCACGACCAGGTAAGTGTTGCCAGGGATAGGCTGAAGGCAGTGTTGACCATCCGGCAACTCAGAGACCAATTCGAAAAAGAGGAGAACCGCTTAAAGGCTTCCATGCACCCGGAAGTAGCTAAACGCCTCTCCACCAAACCCATCAAGCTTTTTGAGCACCTCTTGTCGATGACAAACTTCCCAGACACCAAGGGAGTCGTTTCGTTGTTGAGTGAGGGAATCCCTTTGGTAGGGCACCAGGACCCCCCACCTTCCGAAAGACGTTTGCTGGTGCCAGCTGTGATGACCGTGGATGAACTAGAGAAGTCAGCAAAATGGAGACGGAAGGCTCTGATGGGATCGTCCCGAAACAGCAAACCTGAGGACGAAGAAACCTTGATAGAGTCAGCGTCCGAAGAGGCCAGATTGGGTTTCTTGGATGGACCGTACGACGAGGCCGCCATGACAGACAGAGTAGGATCCGATAAATGGCTTCTGAACCCCCGTTTTGTTCTTTACCAGGGTGATTCCAGAAAGGTAAGGGTAATAGACGATGCCAAGATAAGCTCACTCAATGCGGCGTACAGCAGCACGATCAAATTGCAGCTGCAAGACGGCGACTACGTGACGTCCATGCTCTCGTATGCCATGAGGAGCCAGGGCACGTCCAATTCCCAAGGAGTCAATTGGAAGGGCAAAACATTTGACCTAAGCAAAGCCTACAAGCAATTGGCGGTCCACCCGGATCACCATCACCTAGCAATAGTAGGTTTCCCGGCAGAGGGTAAGTGGAAGTTTTACCGCAGCATTGCAGCGCCCTTCGGCTGCACCGGTTCGGTATATGGCTTTGTTAGAGTCTCGAAGGCCATCTGGTGGGTCTTATCATCTCTGCTGAAGGCACCCATGTCGCATTACTTTGATGACTTCCCCACCTTCGACCTTGAGCCGAACTGCAACATACTTGCAAAAGCCGTGTCAGCCTGTTTGGACCTTTTGGGGTGGGACCACGCCAAAGGAGGGGACAAGGACCTTCCTTTTGCTAGCGCCTTCAATGCTCTTGGTGTGACGTATGACCTCTCTTCGCTGCACTTAGGTTCCCTAGTGGTGGCCAATAAGCCCGGACGAATCGGCAAGATTTGTAACGCCTTAGATGAGATAGAAACTGCAGGCACCCTCACTTCTCACCGAGCGAGTGAAATACAAGGCTTGCTAAACTTCGTAAGTGGCTTTTTCCTCACCAAAGCAGTGACCTTTTTAGTTGCAGCTTTCAACCCTTTCGTAGACGTCACCAAGTCATCCCTGAAGTCCCAGCAGCTCATAGACCTTTGCAAGTTTTCAAAAGCATTGCTTAGAAGCCTGACGCCCCGGGTTCATTCACTGAGCCACATCCCGGAGCCGGTGATCATCTTCACGGACGGAGCATGGGAACCGCCGAACGCAACGGCCGGAATGGTGTGCGTAGATGGCTGGTCCGGCCAGGCATTCACTCGTGAAATCGCGGTGCCTCAAAGACTGGTCGACTTGTGGAAGGACTTGAGCGGGGAACAGGTGATATCCCAGATTGAGCTGTGGGCCGTTGTAGCCACTCGCTGGGATCTCCGGAAGGAACTTGCCGATAGGCGGACCATAATGTGGGTTGACAACGAAGCCGCTCGCGCAGCGGTAATCAGAAGAAGCAGTGACTCACCCTCCATGCTGGGCATGTGTAGGCTTTTGTGTGAAATCGACGCAAAATGGCCTAGCGTGTTGTGGTTCGAGCGTGTGCCCTCTTTTTCGAATCCGGCTGACTTGCCGTCTCGCAGAGCAGCCCCCAAGGCTGCGGAACTGTATGGTCTGTCTTTACGGGACTGCCTGGTGGTCGAAGACGCCGTGATCGCCAGTCTCGTAAG